TGTGCATTTGGTATCTGTGAATTTGTTCAGTTTTCCCTGGTATTCTGAGTGTCCTGTGACAATGGGCAGTTATTCTCTCACCACCAAAATTAAGGAATCAAGTTTCCTCCAATTCCTCCTTAGAAAGAGACGCAAGATCACCTCCAGCAGATCTGTCAGCACTGGGGAGTTGCACGTGCGTCTCCCCTAAGAAATCTTCTGCTGGGGGCCCTATGCAGTTTGGAAGACCAGCCTTCCCTCAAGCTTACTGACCCGAGGAGGAGTCATATCATTCCACTCTCTCCATTTTTCCTCCTTTACTTGGCAAGGGCTTCAGTGGAGATTTAAGGGTGGTGGTAACAAATCAGGTGAGAGTGCAACTCAGCCATGGGAACAACCAACACTATGGTATGGGGAGTTGCTGGGAATCAAGAACCTGGCAGCAGGGCCAAAGCCAACAAAGTTGACTCCTACAAATTTAGGTTGAGGGCAACCCAGTATACCAGTCCACGAGAGTGAGGCTTCATTGTCCTTACAGAATTCTTTTTCTCTGCTATACCATTTTATGATCATATAAAAGCAGCATTTGATGACTAGAGAACCTTCAGACATAGTTACATGATTTATTGACTCACAGCTTTATGCTTTTTACATAGAGAAAAGTAGAAGTTCCGAAAGGGTTAATTGCTACAGTCCTCTAAGAAGTCACTCTAGAAGTCAGAAACAGGAGAGCTAGCGTGAGTGGGTAGCAAGTGGAAGCATTTCATATTCTTGAAGTTTGACCATCTGCGGAAAACAACTTTCAGTGTGTTATTTGGAATGAAGCATCAAGGAAATCTGCCTCCATCACCCCACCACGAAGCCCGGGAGCCACTGGCAGCAAAGAACCCAGCAGAGGGTATTTTGTTTCTTGCCTGCCTCGCTGATCTGAATTTTAAGATTACGTACTTGGGCTTTGTGGTAAAAGCACACAAAAATCTAATCACCAATAACTGCAATGAGAGGAGAAGTTTCTCTGTCTCAGGGCTTCTTAAACTTTTTTGTATTGTGATGGCTTTGGCCATCTGTCGAGGCTTGTTATCCAGCCTCAGAATAATGTTTTTAAATGTACAGCATAAAATACAAAGAATCTGAAGAAAACACATTGCATTGACTGCAAGTTATCAAAATAATTTAAAAATCGTGATATAGGAATGTGTGTGCTTCTTATTTACACATGAAATAACAAAATATAATGGCTGGCCTGATAATCACTGTAAATCCGAAGTAATGATATACACAGTATTTTAATATGTCTACAGAAACTGCAGTGAGAAATCAAAATATCAGCAAACTCTATCCGTGAAAAAGTTACAGGTACTGCTGATGCAACTGTGGTTTGGGGCCTGCATTTATATTTGAACGAAAGGCTGAATTTCAGTTAGATGGTAGTGAAAATAAATGATGTAATTGTTTTTTCAATTCAACTTTATAGATCCTTTGAATTCTATTTCCAGATCCCTCTCTGTGGGTTCAAGATGAACCCCTTCTCTGTTGGGTTTCCAAGTCATCTTTCATCACTTGCCTTACTGAGATGGTGCCCAAATAGGTTTTCAAATAGGGGCAAACTGGTGGCTTCATTGGAAAATTGAGTGGAGTCAGCAGAAGATTGCAGTACAAACACAGGCTGGGCAAATTCTAGATCAAATTATAAAGTAATACATTTTTTTTCTGTCCCATGCATAATTTTTCTCCAAGTCAGGGGCTCAGTGCTTCTGAGTGATATGAACAATTCAATTTGATGTACTTGTCAGTGATAATGATTTAGCCTTTACATGGATACATTATGTATGTATATTTACATAGAGTCTACATGGAGATGGCACTATTTAATCCAAAGGAATCCAGTACCAGTGATGGGTTTCTGGGTTCTTTGACACTTGGGTAGATGGGTAAAGGGTGTTTTTGGTTGTTACTGATACCTTTCAGTCACCTTTTAGTTGACTGTTTCTCTTGCCAGTCATAAGCCAGTTATAGGTTTACGTAGCAAACAGGAGAAGTCCTTCTTTTTCAGTTTGCTCTTGGTTCTACTTATCCTGGCAGGAACATTTCCCTGGGGGCAGGAAAATACTCCTTCGAGTTGAACATCTCATTTGCAGCGCTGTCATTTGAGGGGATAGTCATTTGTAGTTTGTAGAGGAATGATTTCATTCATATGAGTGAACAGATGGGTTAATAAAGCTGTCTGAAATTGTAACCTGGTTCACAGGCTGTTTCAGGGGCATCCATCATGGTGTCGGAATGCTGAATGCTGAGCTACCGACAGTCTATTAGATTATAAGCACCTTGAAAAGCAGGGTTAAACCTCACCTAAACCAGGTCCTTACTAACACAGAGTAGAGAAAGTTTTACTTACAAGGTAGAGGTGGTGCAGTGTACGCTTCTGTCATGGAGCATAGAGAAAGCAATGAAGCTATGACAATAAAGTAATTCCATAAAAAAGAACTGCAATCATTTTTGTGCTATTTTATTCTAAATGTGTTTTCTTATTTTTTAACTTCTCTAACTATAAAATGGCATTGGGGTTTGGGAAGAAATGATCACATAAATCCAAAAGTACTTTTTAAAGGACTGACACTCTCTGAGCTTTAGGTGAAGGAATGCTTTCAAATTTGCTGTTTTAATTATGTTCCTGAGCTTTCTCACTTTTCGTGGCAAGCTTGCTTTTGTTTCATGCTTCACTGCAATAAGCACTGAGATTTGTTCTGAAGCCACATGAGAAGGGAAGATAGGAAGATAAGCAGGGGAGGCTGTCCTTTTGCTGGACCTCGTCTAGGCTCAGCTGTCAGAGTGTACACAACGTGTAGCACCGATGCTTGATGGTATAAGGCAACGGCTTTCAACCCTGGCTTCACAGCAGAATCACTTGAGGAGCTTTTAAAACCGTTTATATTATAAGCATAATTTATATCAGAATTTCCACAGGTGGGGGTTTGTCTTTGGTATGTATTAAAAGTACCCTAGGTGATTCTAATATGCAGCCAGTGTTGAGAATTATTGGGAAAGTAACTGTGAATGGTCCATGACCTCAAATGGGCAAGATTTAGAACTCAAGTTATTTCTTATTCCCAAACTCAATTTTGCTATTAACTTCATTTTTTCTTATGGTTTACTTAATCCCATACTTCAAAGTTCTTACGTGGTGTAAAATTTGGGTGAATCAGAGGAACCTCTTTATTTGTACATCATCTATCCATTGAGGTCACCATTGGGTGCCCATCGTCCCATTAGCATGCATGTGCCACACGCTTGGAGCACTGGCATCTCTCTGATGTGGCATCAAGACTAGGACTAAGGGGAGGCCATAAGACTCAGTATCACATAAATCATATCCTAATGCAAAATTCAAAAAAATCTAAATTAATACAAAATTTTATGATGAGCAGTCTTATCAAAATTTTAAAGAAAGACAGGATTGTACGCCTCTGTCACCTGTCCCTCTCCTCGTGGGAAATACAACATCTCTAGCAGCACTGTACTTTCTTCCTGCCTGCCCCTTCTAGTTGAGGAAAATCTCATTTAACTCAAAAAATCCTTTGCACATTTGGCTTGCATATTTAATTTCTTCAGGAGTGCTTTCTCTTATCCCTGTCCCCAAAATGGGCTCAGACTTTCTGAAGCAAAATATATGAAGAAAAGTATTTATCAGGCAATCTCCCCCCACCCCCCCAAAATTGCCACACCTCTTTTCTTTGTCACTGAACATAGAATTCACTACTTGAGGTATATGAGTGTGTGTGCATGTAGTGTGTGTGTGTGCATGTGTGTGCGTTTGTGTGTGTGTATGAGGGAATATGTCCCCCC